CGCCTATGAAAGGGGCCAGTATATTTGGCTCTCAAAAGCACATTTGCTTTCCATCCCCAGATGATATTATGGTACTATGCTCTGTGTCCCTTATTAGTGTGTCCTGTTTTACTGTATATAAAACAGTACAATTCTCAGTGCAGCCCTACTATGGTTGTCACCCATTGTTGTACTCCAAACAAGCATTTACACATTCAGGCATGTAGTGCGGTTTATGTACTTTTAGTGTCAGTGCTAAAGCAGTACAGTATGTAGTGTGGGTGGCAGAGTTAGACGGTGGCATGTATGAGGATTATTCATGTGTAATGCAGAACTAAATGAACTTTAAACAAATAGCATTTGATGGATACTTGAAGTTCTCTGTCATAGCACAGATAATTTCAATTTTTACAGTAATGGGGGGTAGGGGAGTAATGTATTCTGCCACTGATTTTTTTTGTTGATAAAAAAAAAACATATTTACTTTATCTCTTCAAGACTAAACCCACTACTAAGCTGAACTCACTTCTCATAGACTTGCACATTTTGGACACCTTACTTTGAGCAATGGCAAAATAAGTCAGTCACTTCATGTTTTGGCAATGGCTGAACAGTTAAACATTCAAAGTTATAATATTCATTTCAACCTGCTATAAATTACTGACTCAATGTGCCTTCATTTTACATCTGCTTGGCTAGACCTGCTGCAAATCCTCAGCTTTCCTTCATCTCTCTCTCTCTTCTTTTAAAACATGCTGAAAGTCAGTTATCAACACCACTTCTCCCTGACATCATCGCACTAATACAAGCTGCTCTTGACCTTATGTTTGTGTCATGAGCGGATGAGAACACCATGCTTCTCCCTGATTGGATTAACTTCAGATGTGGTGTGTGTCCGGGTCTATTACATTACACCTCCCTGAAGGCCTGCTCTCCCTACATGCCATCTCCTAACACCCCACACATGGACACACACACATTCACAAATGCCACTGCTCATGCTTCCAAACAGTCATATCCTATGTGTCTCCTGCACTGTGATGAAATGCCTGGAGACACCCTCCACCCTCCTCCATCCACACCCTCAGTCTCTGTCTGTTCCGTTTTTCTGATTCTGGAGGGGTCATTTCAGATGGAGAGCTTCTAATCAACTCAATTAAGGGAGTCTGATTGCCATAGCAAATTGGTCTGGGTTATAACATTATCATTAGCTCTTCAAATGTGGTCACAACAGGGCACTGCAGTCAGAATAAAGTGAGACTATTAGCAAGGAAGGATGTAGTGACTCTTGAGAGCAACTTAGACAAAGGTTGAGTTTGTCCTTGTGGAAAGGAGCAGATAAAAAATGAAGCTTCTGGACACAAAACACTACAGAACATACACTGTTCAAGTGAAAATGGGCAGTTAATATTAGTATTCAATAGAGCATCAAAGAGACAGCATCCTGCCTCTGACACTGACTGACAACTACTATCAGGTGTTTATGGGAGTAAGTCTACTCTATACAGATTCATGGAGCTCAGAGACCTGCTGATTTAAAAACTTTGGGTTGACCCAGTAATTGTTTCTGGGGATATGACATTTGTCTCTTTGTGTGGCTTGCTCAAGGTGTCAACACCTTTCACAGTGAAGGTTTTTGCACTGTGGCTCACGTGCCCTGGAGCAGCCCGTTTGATCTTTCGGGAGGACTGTCAACTTATTGCACGACGCCATGAAAATTGAATTCTGTATTTATTTACATGCCAGGTTAATAGAATAGATGCCTAGGTGATTTGAAAGTCAAACGACCACACCTGCCATTCATTTCAGTTTTTTTCACGAAGGCAGATCTGCTGTTTTCTTCTGTAAGGCCTGAATACAGAAAGAGACCGTTATAATGAATAAAATGGTTTATCATCAATATTTATGTTCTAAAATACACTATGGTTTCACGCAGCAGCAGTAAATCAAATTTTCATTATTGAAAAGCACTTTTGGGAATAATCTGTTATATCCTCATCTACATCCTGCAACCCTCTTTGTGTGCATGTTGAGAAACAAACAGTTTAGTCTTGAGCAGCAGCACAGTGGCCCAGTTTGTGTAAAATCAGTGTCAGTGCATCTCTAATCATGCGTGCTGGTGCATGTACACGTACGAGCCCCTTCCAGAGGGTTTAAACAAACTTGTCATGTTGGGAGACGCTGCTGTCAAATGGAAGACGGATCTGAGGGCTGTCAATTGAATGGCGAGAAATGTCTGGCAGTTGTCTTGAGGTTGGTCTCATCACTTAATATTCAAGCGTGCTTATCTGATTGCTGAGACGGTGCCAGACTGACTGCTGTTATTTGAGTGCATCTCCCACGGCCCCTCCTGTGATAAGCACAAGGATGATGCCACAGCTATGTGGCATTACAAGCATGTCAGTGTCTGTCACCTTGTGTACTCTGCAATGGTGTCACGGGTCAATTCAACAAGAGGAAAGTGATATGACTTCCCAGCCTGTGGAGTGAAGGCCTGGCTCTCTTTGTGCCACGAGCTGGTGTTTGCATAAAAAAAGACTGTGGATTAGCTAAACAACACTGCCACTTGCTGGTCAAATTTAGGTACTAAACAACAAAATAAAGGGAAAGTGCTGCTAGAATAAACTAGAAAAAGGCCTAAAAGGGTACATATATGTTTTTGTTAACATATTTCAGGAGTTTTGTCATTCTAGTTAAGGTTTAAAACTCAAACAGATGCTAGCACATACATTTAGACCAGCTTGGGTTCAAATTCACTACATATCTACACATTTTTTCTGCATGGTTTTGCAAAATTTAAAAGCCTCTTCACTCCCACATGCTAAATGCAGCAAAACAAGAACCTCTTGAATTATTTTGTTTCATATTCACAGTTGTATGTGTCAGTATTGTTTCCTTGTTTCTCTACCATCTAGTTTTTTTTCCACTACCTTTGAGAGTGTGTGTGAATGTGTATCATTGTGGCACTCTGACAGTCACGGCTGGGAGGGGAGAACAGTGGCGTGCTCGCTACAGATGGCAGCACACATTTTTTTCCTTTCTTAAACAGATACAAAAAGCAGCTAAGGGACCAGGGCCTGTCTGTAGAATGTGCTGGCGAAGAGCAGGTACTTGGCACAAGTAGCAGAAACAATTAGCGTCACATAAGCAGAGGCCCAAAGCAGCGGGAGAAAAGGGGGAGAGGATGGTGGAAAAACACGGTGCCTCGTTTTCACTGAGAGGGCCTTAGCAGAGCAGTGTGCACACTCCAAGACTTCCCCTTCCTTTCCTCATCACAACTCAAACACTTTTCTGAGACTGTTTGTGTCATGGCTCATTTAATTGATGTGTTCTTGTCAGCAGCGTGTTTTTGTTTGTATCTATGCATTCTTAATTAGGGAATAGACTATAAAGGATGCTCTGTGTCCTTGGAGAGACCTTGCATCCCACTCACGTCCCCAAAATTCCTTTTTGAACATTCCTTGCTGCTCTCTTTCCTGTAGCTGTTTTGAAGTTTCAAGATAACATGATCTAAAATGTGGCTCATGGAAACACTCTTTGCTCATTAAACTTTACCTGCTGTACAGATAAGCTCAAAGAAAATGCTAAAAACAATTACTTTTATAGAAAGAAACCTAGTTAAAAGTCTTAAAGGGTGGAATGGAATTTTTTGAAGCATAAATACAATACTCACTTGACCATATGTATAAGTTACTGGTCACTGCAACCATTCCTCATCCCCATTCCGGCCATGAAGTGATCTTTTTGAAACATGAAAACCTGTAAGAAAGAAAGGATAAAATCTACATTATGTGTTCTATGTGGCTTAGTTAAATCAAGTATTTTAAAAATCTCTGTGATTTTTGCATATTCACAAACAATAACTTTACAGTCTGCGAGCACAGGATTAACATGAGTTTTTAAACTGATGACAACTCTTCTTTGACACTTAAATATCTCTTGGCTTTCCGATGGAACTCCACATGTCCATACACATTTTATAGTAAGCAGTTCTACATGAAAGCATACATAATAACAAATGGAGTTCAGAAAAAAGTGCTGGACAAACATTAACATCATAGAATCATCCACTAAGTAAAGAAAGACCCTTAACCACTAGCCTACCAGGGACGGCCTAGAATCGTCCACTAAGTAGCTTTACTAAAAAACAGATAAATAAACCCTCTTTCATCCTTTTACCACTAGGAGGCAGAATTGGAAAGTGTAGCTGTATTGTAAAATAATATCAAACTGATATGTTAAGTGTTGGATGATAAGACAGTTGCTTTATATTATTTATTATTTGGATTGTAGTGGTCTTGTCACCTTCATATGAAAAGTGTTTTAAAGATAAAATGGCACTAAATTTATCATGCTTTAAATTTGGAAATGCCCTGCGATGGATTGACGACCTGTCCAGAGTGTACCCCGCCTTCGCCCGATTGACCCATTCACATTAGTTCACATTTCACACATGAATTGCCGTCACGATGAGTTGTGCATATAACAGAACACAGTGACAACAAAATACACAAATACATCAGATAAAAGTATGTTGGTCTGGATTGCAACATAGCTAACAAACTCTGCACAGCATTTTGAAATGTAGAGCTTTAGCAAATAGACTCATTTCACAATATTTAAAAAGAGTTTTGTAATTAAACACTGTGACTGTTCCTCATTTTAAACTTGTCAGTATATATTTGAAAAAAGTTATATATAAACGTTCCTGTTTGCCATAAGAATGTGGGAGTAGATCAGTTTTTAATAGTTATGTACCAAATGTCTTTTTCCCCTAAAATGAATCAACCTTACAAAAGTGTCCCTAATTTTGCAATACAACTGAAAAAAAATCAATACACTGGGCCTTCCTCTCAAAGATTAAGCAAAACAAACTGTACAAGAACGACAGAGAGAGGGATTCAACCTCATTTTTAACAAAGCCAAGAGCAGTGCACATAATGGCTGCAGACATTAAAATGCTCTTTTGCGTTGGACTTGCTGTTGTACTAACGGGTATGAGACGATGTGTAATCTAGCAGATGACAGAGATTTCTTGGATCGATGGTAACAATAGTTGCTGTTCTGTCTTTTGTTGGTCAGGTGTGGGAAAGTCTGGCTTTGTTGGAAAGAGCCACAGCCAGGGAAAGGATGACCCTGTGTTGCAATATGTGGTTAACAACTCACTTAGGGAACATCCAGTCCTCACCAAACTCAAACTGGTAAGAAAGCCATTTGCTTGTGACTTATTTGGACATGGTTTTGATAACTTAATCATTGATTTCATAATACTTTGATTATTGTTAAATTGTTAACTTCTTTTGACATTCTTATATTGTTTACAAGTGTTTCAGTGCAAACAGAAGATCCCATGTTACATTCAAGTAGATGTCTTTAAATTAATCTTCTGTGAAATTCAGTTCATTTAGTTTAGCATGGGCAGGCACCTTCCAACTTTAATCTACATTCTGAAGCCACCAGCAGGTTGTTTAAGTCAGATGAAGGCTGGTCTGGTAAATACAAGCTCCCGGGGTTTTCAACTGTGATCCACAGACCAGCATTCTAACTAAGAAGTAACCTGAGGACCTGTGTGATGGGGTGGCCACACCAGATGGGCACTACTTTAATACTGAAAGTCACCTTAGCTTTTCTAAATGTTAAATATTTGCACAAATTAGATTTTTCACTAGCAAAACTCATGGAAATTAGTTTGTAAAAAATTCCTACCACGAAACTACATTATTGAATGCATGACCAGGGACCACCTGCAATGCCTTCACTGACCACCAGGGTGCAGGCCACTGGTTGAAAACTCCTGCTCCAGGCTAAAAATTAAAGGAAATTGCACCTTTGGAGTTGTGATTTTGTATCTCACTGCCACTGAATGTAACATCTGTGGACACTGTGGATACTTGTCAGAATTGTCTGCTTCGAATTCTTTTATTATTATATCAGCATCACATTTTAATCGTATTATCTTACAAAAATACAGTCTCACAGTACATGATATCTGGATCAACAGTACAGATTTTGACCAATACAGGGCAACACATTGTTAGAGACCACTACAAAACTACAGTAGAAGAAAACATGTTATTTGTCCAACTACTCATACAGCATAATGATGTATTTTCAATGATTTTCTATTTTTATGTCAGAGAACCTTTGAAGACTCAGGAAGTGGGATGCTGGTTGCCAGTGAACAAGCTCAGTTAATGGCAAATCTCATTAAACTGATCAATGCAACTAAAGCCATTGAAATAGGTGAGATCATGTGATCACCACAAACACATTCAGTGGAAGAGTATGGAAGAAGAGATGGCCCATAGTAACTGAGAAACCTAATACCTAATTGTGAAATTAAACCACTAATGTTGAAAAACAAAACACCATTGCTTACATATTTATTTAAAATGGGTCTTATTTGGCAAACCATAACCTGACTTTTTATTCTGTAGGGATGTACACAGGGTACAATGCACTGAACATGGCTTTGGCTATGCCAGAGAATGGAAAAGTGGTTGCTTGTGAGATAGAAAGCACCTATGTGGACATTGCCAAACCATTTTTCAAAGAGGTGAGAAAATGTCTCTTCAAACTTCCTCTCTTATGTTCAGTCATCCATAAAAATGTTATCTACTCAAGATGAAAGATTTTTTGTTAAAAAAGAGGTTCAATCAGAAAACGTTTAATGCTATTTCCATATTAGTACAAGACCCATTTCAAAAGCACATGCTGTCCAGTCCGTGGCACCTGTGCTGCATTTGAACTTGGCACTTTGCAAGTTTGTTCACATTGACTGTTGCTTCAGTCAGAGCAAAACTGTGCAGCAAACAGCATGCTGTATATTTACCTTCTGTCAGTATCTCTTCACAAAATACTGCAGGCTGGAGAGTAAAAAAGTGTCGGCTCAGGGCACTGCATCACGTAAAGATGCAAAGCCAAGCATAAAATCAATTCCTGTTAAACCTTCTCCAGCATTCTCTTTAAAAAGCAATTAAAATAAAAAAAAAAACCCAAGTAGAACGTCTGCACAATTCTTGATTCATTCAATTAAACCTATCCTATAGGCTGGAGTTGAACATAAGATAGATGTACGACTTGAAATGGCCATGAAGACACTGAGTAAGTGCTTTTAAAAATCTCAGTCATAATTTCTGATTCAGTCATTCTTGCATTTTAATTTCCATCTCTGTTTCATCAGATGACCTTATTGCCGCCGGGGAAGCTGGGACATATGACTTTGTGTTCATCGACGCTGATAAATTAAACTATGACAATTACTATGAGAAGTCCCTTGAGCTCATCCGAAAAGGGGGAATCATTGCAATTGACAACGTAAGAACACTTTCCATGAGCAGGTTGAATTTCTGTCACAGAATACACACTGAGAGGTGTACAGCATTGTTTTCACTGTGAACAGAATGAAACAGCTTGGTTGTTATTTCAAGGTGCTGTGGGGCGGCAAGGTTGTAAATCCTGCTCCTGATGACTTCACCTCCCAGAGTTTGGATGCTCTCAATAAGAAGCTGCACAAGGACCAGAGGATTGATCTGAGCATGCTCCTTGTGGGCGATGGCCTGACTATTGCCATTAAACGTTAAAATCACTAGTTTGTTAGCAGTAGTTTTTTTTTATAATTGGTGCATTGATTTTAAAATCAACTATAAGAATAAAACATCATATGTGGAATACATTGCCTTCTGTATGGTTCTGTCAACCTTTTCCACAGATTAAACTTTCTCTTTATGATTACTGGCTTTACAAAGAGAGCAATCATCAAGTGCTAAATGGGACAAATATAGAGTTTCAAGCATCAATATAGAATACCAGTAATTTATATACAATAAATGTCACAGTTCTTTCAACTAAATATACTTAATAAAAAAGTAAGAAAGAAAAAAGTGGTGGTGGAAAGTAAGTACATTTACTCAAGCCCTGTAATTAAGTACAATTAAAAGGTCATAGGCTACCTGGCAGTATATAAAGTAAACAGATTTGGCCACATAGCAGCTGCAACATGATCTACAAATGAATTTATGAACAACTGCAGTTCTATGATATAAACTACAATATGAGTGTTTCCACAATTGGTATTTTTAGAAGTAAAAGACTTCTTTCACCACTGGGTTCAAAGGAAAAAGAAGTCTAACATGTACTGGAAATTCAATTTCAACCAGGTAGCCACCTGGTAGAGGTATGAGCTGGACAGCTAGTAAGACGTTCCTATAAAGGTCCTGAATGTGGGATAAATGACGCCATCTGTTAATCGTGAAAAGGACTTTAACAGCAACTTAAAGACTTTAATTGTCACATACAATAATAATGCACAGAGCGTTAACTGTTTTGGGACTAACATCTACAGTCAGTTGATCCACGTCACTTCTGCTTGCGCAGGCTCCCATTCACCCACCAGCTGATGCTCCACCTGCTCAGCACCACGGACAGCTCCGTCCTGCACCGCTGGCAGATGGAGCCCGCATGGAGCATCTCTGCACTGGACACTCACGACGGCAGCATGAGTCACACAGCATGGATAACAGACTCGACTTCCAGCACGGAATCACTCAAGATGAGTATTTACAATACACAGCAGCGCCTTCAGGTTTTAATGCCAGTGACGCCATTAGGGAAACGTCAGCAGCTATGAATTTAACCAAGTTAACTGTAAAGTTTAACGAGAAAGAACTGATGCATGGCTTGAACGATCGTCTTGCAGGATTCATAAAGAAGGTGCACCATTTGGAGCGCCAGAATGATTTGTTAGAGAGAGAAATCAAGGATCTCAGAGGGAAAGCGAAACGTGCATCTTGTTTCGAGGAGGAATATGGACCAGAGATCAGGAAACTGAGACAGCTGGTTCAGGATATTACTCATCAGAAGCACCGGATTGAAATCGAGCATCAGAATTTAGAGGAAGAGCTGTCCAACTTGAGGAAACAACATGAACAGGAGGCGCGTAGCAAATCAGATGCCGAGAGCAAAATTATGGTCCTCAAGAAGGACATCAGTGACGCATATCAGGCTAAACTACAGCTGGACAAGAAGGCCCAGGCTCTTGTTGATGAAATTCATTTCCTGAAGGGAAGCCATGAGGCCGCGGTGTCCGAGATGTTTGACCAAATTAAGAGTTCGCAGGAGACTGTGCAGGCACATGAATTTGGAAACCCTGGCGTCACTGCGGCACTCCGGAACATCAGGACACAGCTGGTTGGACGTGCTACGGCCGATGTCGGGCAGGTGGGAGAATCCTTCCGATCTCAGTTTGCAAGATTAACGGAGGCAGCTGAGACCAAAAGAAAGGAGCTAAAAGCAGCACGACAAAAGATCCAGGAGTACAGGAGGCTTCTGCAGACCAAAAACATCGAACTGAACTGCGCAATAGGCACCAGGGAAGCGCTGGAAAAGCAGCTTCATGACGTCGAGGATCGCCACAAGGAAGAAATCATCCATTATCAGGCAAGACTTTTTTATATAACCTAAGAGTTTGATTTAATAAAGCCTTGTTCAGTGTTCACGTGCTGTCCAGTAACAACATTCTCTCCTCTTTTGCTCCAGAACACAATCCAAGAACTTGAAAACGAGCTCATAAATTGCAAATCTGACATGTCTGGTTACCTGCGGGAGTTTCAGGAGCTGTTAAATGTGAAGATAGCTTTGGATGTGGAGATACTGTCTTACAGGTAGGGCAGGCCACGTGACTTTAAGATAGACATAGTTTTCAGAGTGTCTTCATTAGTCCTTATTACTAAAGAAAACATTTTTGGGGTCCAAAGATTATACATTTTAGTTTTAAACAATTATCCGTATCATACACACTTTTCATGTTCTGCTTTTAACTTTTGTCATTAATGCTGCTATATTTGAGTACAATGCAGTTAAAGCACAGTGTCAGAGTTGCACTATGGGAATCACAGCACTGCAATGGTTAGTAAATGCAGTGGGGAAAGAAGTAAAATCAAATGCAACATGATCTACAAATTTCTATTTAAAGATATTTTCTTCAATACATTCAGTCTTTCTCATTAATGGTGATTAATATAAACATGAGTGCTGTACATTGGTCATTGCAAATTACAAATCTGTCTCCTATTTTGCAGGAAGCTTCTCTACGGCGAGGAGGCTCGGCTATCCACAGTATCAGACACCCACATCTCTTTGCCATACATTTACCATCAGTCCCCTGTTTACACCCTCCCCTGCCTTTGCCGCCCAGGGGCCCCGTACAGACGAACAGAGCCCCAGTACAAGTTTGTAGAGGAGATCATAACGGAGACCACCAGGGAAATTGAAATGTCAGAATTTGAGGAGACAGAATCAGAGGACACAGAAGCAGAATATGGTGAGCAGGAGTGTAGCAAAAAAGACAGAGGGAGCAGTGAGGAAGAGAAGGATAATAACGATTGTCAAGAGAAGGAAGGTGAAGGGATGCTTGATAGTCAGCAGAATCAAGTAGAATCAGTGGAAAATGCAGTAAATGGAAGGGGAAGAGGGAGTCTTGGTGAGGTAGATGATACTGAAAAAGGTAAAAAAAGTAAAGAAAAGTCTGAGGAGACTGAAGCAGCTGACAATGAAGGGGACTGTGGCCTGGATAAAAATACCCAAAGCAAAGTTTTAAGTGTGAGAACTGGTGGGGAAGGAAATAAGCAACATCAAAAAATACCTGAAAATAATGAAAAAACAAAAGCAGAGAAAGAAGCTGCAATGACAAAGGTAACAGTTCAGAAACATCTCTGTTCTCAACCAGATGATTTAAAACCAGAGAATGAAATCCTGAAAAAATCTGCAAATGGTGAAGAAGAAGATGGTGAGAAAGGCAGTTTTATCCTAACTAAAGCAAAGAAATCTGTTGATGAGACCTTGGCCCAAGTGTCTCAACAATTAGACAGAACGCAAGAGCAAAGCAGAGCTGTTCAAGTTCAAGATACAGCTTCGACTCACAAACCCACCGATTTGACAGGAATGACAAGCAGCATTCTGCCTGTGGAGACAGAAGAACTTCCAGAAAAGGCTCAAATAACATCAAGTATAACAAAAACTGAGGAAAGGGAATACAATCACACAGAAACAAAGGAATTTGGTACTGCAAAAAGTGAGAAAGTAGCAAAAAGCAGTAAAGATGCCAGACACGACAGTAATAAAAACCAAGGTAAAAAGCCATCTCTTGGATAGAATGTGAAAAGCCTCTGTGGAGTCGGGGATCAGAGGCCAGACAGCGGGGATAAACCTGAAACCATCCAAACTGTGCTGCCAAAGGAAAAGACAACCACCAGTGCAGAAGTCAAACAGCTGCATCAGGGGGAATCAGAAAGCAGCCAGGTTCAGACTGAAGGCCCAGAGAATATAAATAATCCTCAAGGTAAACCCCAGAAGGTTGAGTGATGAGCCTGAGAAACATGTGTACAATACAAACAGAGCGGATATCTGCGGTGGCGCAGGATACAAAGATTAATGATATTTCTACCTTAAATTAAATGAGACAACTCCTCATAAGCAAATATTAAAGACAGTGAAGCTGAAAGATAGCTACAAAGCTACAACAATGCAGATGCAAATTCAAGGCAAAGACAGGAAAGCTCAGAGCTGTCTTTCATTCTTCAAAATGACAATTTTAAAACGAGAGATTACTCCAGGGTTTGCATCAGCTTTGCCTTTGGACTTTAAATCAGCTTGTGAGGTATTCAGATTTTTTGACTCACCACTCAGCTAACTTATTTATGAATGTAAACAATACAGGATGAATTTTGAATGACTATCAGTTTTGGTATGCGCTGCAAATACATGTAATATCAAGAAATACTGTGATTGAGTTAAATTGTGACTAAAACCTATGGCCAACTCAACAGAAACTGTGTAACAACATGAGCAAATCTAGAAATGAGGTGAAAGGTGAATACAATCACATTAGTTTCCTTCACTTCCCATCTCTGTATATCAATGTCTTCTGAAGGTCATTGAGTGTCTTTATTTACCTTCTTTGTCGGAAAACATCTGCAGGTCCTTATTTGGCTGTTTCCCCTGTAGTTTCCATTTCCTTATGGGAGACATGCATATCAGGCTCTCTACTGAACAAACATCAAACATTAACTTATATTCCGGAAAGAAGAGTTTGCTGTGAAGTTATGCAGTTAGCACTTAAAGCATGATCTTGACTTCATAGTAATACTTGAGAAGCATAACATCCTCAAACTCAACCACAAAAATTGAAATTGGGAGTCTTAATGCTCCGTTATAAATTCAACAGCTTGAGACAAATTGCAAAAAAGATCAGTAGTAGTAGCTTAACCGTGCTGTTCTGTTCATGTTTTGATTACACTGGTGGTGTTCGCGGGTGTCCTTTGGCTTTGTAACTCAACATAATCAATAAATTTTAATTTAAAACAATGTAATAATCAACTCTAATAATCAACAGATGTTTACATTTGCCCTTTACCTTTGTTAGATTACATTACATAAGGGTTAAAACTGTATTGTGCTAATTTTTTGTTAGATGATTGGAAAAAACGCAACAAATTTACAAATGAAGCAAGATTTTTCACAACTGCTGATTTTTATTTGAACCAAAACTTTCTTCTTTACTTTCCGGGGTTGGATGAAAGAAGCATCTTTAAGAAACGCTGCTTTTTGAGCTCCGAAATACTGATTGAGGTGTTGTTCCTGAGCACCAAAAGTGTTATGTTGAATCCGGTGATGTGATAGAACTAACAAGTGTCAACTCATTGAAGAATATCCTGGTGAGTCAATACGTCTGGATGCATTGATCGTTTACGCTGTTTTTTCCAGTATTGTGCCAGTTGTGTAGATGTCAGCATATTATTAACTATAAACCAGTCAGAATATGTTATTATTATTTTTTTTAAAGTTTGGTTTATTGTGCTTTTTTCAACAGTAACAGAGAGTTAGGTGTACCATTAAATACGATAACATGCAGTAGAGAGGTGTACCAACAAACTCTTATATAGTCATGTTACAATGTATCAATATGGACAATACAAAATAGCAATATAAGTGCACATCCTCAAAAACAAGAAAAAAAGAAAAAAAAGAAGGGGGGGGCCGCACATCCACCTGCCTTAGT